AGTGTCCAGTACAATATATATATTATGAACCGTGGCAGGAATATGATTCCGGGCATCGTTTCTGTTATTTTTTAACATCTCTAGTGTGTGTGTGTGTGTGTGTGTGTGTGTGTGTGTGTGTGTGTGTGTGTGCATGTGTACCTTCTCAGCCATTGTCAGTACAGTCCTGGCGTGAATCACCACCACCTGCTCGTCATTGGACAGGTTCTACAGGAGAACATTGAGAGAATTGTTTTGTTTTTTATCCCTGGTGCTAAGTGACAGGGTCAGGGGTCGGGTGTGGAACTGCACCCAGTGAAACAGAGGGGGCGGGGCTAAGTCCAAGCAGAGTAAAGTGGACATACACTTACGGCGTTATCTCCCAGGATGTCCAGCTTCTTCATCAGTTCACTGATGACAATGTCCTGACCACAAGGAACACACACAGTTTGACAACGGCCACAATGACAACAGCCGAAACAGGAGGGGGCGGGGCTACTCACAGTCGCACCCTCCGCCTCACAGTACACCTGCAGGGGACTGAGGCCTTCTGGGAAATGCAGTTGCTGGAAGTTGATTCCGGGTGATCGTCGCTCCCGCTCCTGGACAGGAAGTGGAGCTAACGTACATGTTTGGGCGACACCTGTGTCGTCGTTGTTTGTGTTGCTGTTGTTTACTCTACCTCCAGCTCCAAGATCCTGAACTCCAGCAGCTCATTCTGGTCTCTGATGTCCTGGATCTCGTTCCTCAGACGCAGCTCCTCACTATCCATCTGACGCAGCTGCAGTCGGTGGCAAAGAAAACAACAGGAAGTTGATAAGGATAACAGGAAGTGCTTCACTTGGTGAAAGTTGGAGACTTTTACACAGGAAGTAGTGGAGTTGGTTGAGTTGAGTTCCAAAGGTGGAGTGATATATTAATTAAGTTGACATTTAAAAAATCAAACCCAATGTGAATTCATTCACACAGGAAGTGATTGAAGTTGTTTATCGTCAGATGGAGAATGATGAAAAACTACTAACAAACACTAATCTGCGGTGATCCAACTCTAACTCACCTTCTCCACCAACTCCTGGTTCCTCTGATACAAACGTTGTTTCTCCTCCACCCACAGGACGTCCTTGGAGACAGAGACAGGATCAGAGGGAAACGTCTGTGTCTGTGTGTGTGTGTGTGTGTGTGTGTGTGTGTGTGTTACCAGTCCTTGCTGTTTCAGTGCTGACTCCAGGTCAGTGACTCTGGTTTGGTACTGACTTATTTCACTCAGCAGTTGTTCTCTGGTCTAGAGGAGGGGATTTTCACAGGTGTTTACAGGTCAAGAGGTCATGGGGTCAAAGGTCAACATCTTTGTCTCTTCTGTCCTCACCTTGATCTCCTTCTCAGCATCATAGTTTCCTCCACAGGTCTCTGTCAGAAGAGCGTACGCTCGCTGCAGCGCCTGATATTCCTGAGTCAGCTGACGGTATCGTAGCTCCGCCTCCTCACGCACGCATCCCTAACACATACACACACACACATCCATGAAGACGTGACTGTTCAGGTGTAGGAGGAGCTTTGCAGTAAGGATTCTGTCTGTACATGGGCGTGAACGTGAACTCTACCTCTTCTGGTTCAGTGTCCGGAGTTCTGTCCGTGTGAAAAGACAACGACGATCCGTCAGAGTCCACTTCTTCATCATAACCATAGAAGGTCTCTATGACCTGAACACACACACACACACACACACACAGTACAGATGTTATATTATACAATAATAACGGGCGGAGAGTGAATGGTAAGATCAGCATGCTGCAGTGACGTCAGAACCACCCCAGAATGCTTCACAGTACTACTATTGTAAGTATCAGCAGACATAGTACTTGAAGACAGATATGTTGTAGCTGTTATATTGTTAGCATTAGCATTAGCAGCATGAGTCTCATACTAACTCTGCAGGCTCTGAAGGTTCTTTTTCTTCTCACTGTTTCCTGTCGTCTGTATCTGAGCAACATGTCTCTCTCCTATAGGACAAACACAACAACAACAACAATGATATCAACAACAACAGCAGACTAGGAGACAACATCAACAGCTACAGCCATGTAAATACTTACTATTACATTCTTTACATAACCTGCTGTTTCAAGAGCCTGTCAATGAAAACACCAGTGTTAGTCGGATCAGCAGTGAATATTATTAGCACTTTCCTCAGAGTTTGGAAGTATTAGTAGTAGTAGTAGTAGTAGTAGTAGTAATGGTAGTAGTATCAGAACATGCACTTTCCACTTCAACATGTCTCGCTAACTGTAGCAGTAAGTAAAGTAGTAGTAGAAGTATTACCTTTGAAAGGTCGTCGATGACGTGCTGCTGCTCCATCACTTGTAACCGTAGAAATTCCATCTCTCCAGCCTCTTGGTGGTAACCATGGCAACTGTTGTCCAGGTCATTGAGGGAACTGGGCCTTCTCTGGAAACCACATGATAGCATCGCAAATCTTTGTTAAGTACACTTTAGCCATTAGCCACAACATGTTTGTTGTGTTTGTAAAGTTAGCTGTTAGCGAGCTTTGTGTATAGTTACCATAGTTACCATCTCCAGATTCTCCTGTGTGACAAAGCGCAATTTGTTGTCCAGACGGCGCAGAGAGAGCGCTAGCTCCTCGTTTTTTCTGCTCAGACGCTTGTTTTTGTCCAGCAGAGGAAGAAACTGAGACTCTGCCTCCCGCAGGCGCTTCAGCTGAAGTCAGAGAGTGAACAACTTTGACTGTTTCCTGTGTGCATCTTTTAAACTTATCTTTATTGGTTTATCTTTATTTATTTTAGGAGAACGTTGTGATGATAAAACTGCAGCAGCTGTGTGTAAACCCTGTGTGTTACCAGTTCGTTGCGTTCTTCTGACAGCAGAGCGTTTCGATCCTCCAGTTTCCTAACAACAGAACTGAGTTCAGCGATTTTCAGCTGAAACCTACGAGTGTCCCGCTCCTCCTGGGACTGAACACACACACACACACACACTTCATCAGTGGTGACATCTACTCACAGTTCTAACAGCAGCAGAGCTCCACCTGTTCACATGGCACTTTCCTGAGCTACTCTGAGGGGGTGTGGTCATGTTTTAAATGATGTCATGATGAGGTAACAGGAAGTGATTGAAGGTCATGCAGCAAGTACAAGAGGAGGCGTGGCTTACAATGTGGGAGGGGGTGTTAGGGGTTGAGTTAGGGCTAGTGTTAGTCCCCGTCTTCTGAGCGTCTCTGAGCGCTGCGATTTGCTGCTCGGCCGCCTGAGTCTGCAGCTGGAGACGGTGGGCGTGGCCAGCCTGAAGCCCCAGAGCTTTGTCCAAAACACTGACTGCTCTGTCCTTCAGCTTGATCTCGTCCATCTGTGAGGGACAGACATGTCAGACAGACAGGTGAGACGGGTGAGATAGACAGACAGGTGAGACAGACAGACCACTCTGTCGTCCAGCTTTACCTCCTCCCTCTGGAGGACAGACAGATGTTGGAGGGGAGGCGGGGTTAGTCTGTCAGGCAGACGGATGGAAGAGGAGGGTTGACGGGATTGGTCGGTGAGACAGACGGGTGAGGCGCGTTAGTTCTGTTATGTGGCTAAACTTTTGGCTGCTTTTCTAAGCTAGCAGCAATGTTTTCACATATAGTGAACCATTTTGCCTGTGACTCAGGTCAGCAGCAGGGGGCACTCTCAACTGTGTGGTACTTCAAATGTACATGTTCACTAGCATACCAGACGGCGCACTTCCCTCTCGCAGTCCCTCTTAGTGCGGTTGAGCTCCTCCTGGTGGTGGTGGTGGGCAGATCGTAGCTCGGCCGCTCGGGCCTGACATGCCTGCTGCGATGATGTCAGAACGTCCTCCATCGACTTCTTTGCTCTGCGCAGCTCCTGGACTTCCTG